TACTGTGTTTTACTTGCTCGCTCCAGCAACTGATGAAGAAGAATTTGGCACAGCGCCAAACTTATTCCTCCTGACACGTCCCTTCGTCCGCAGCGAACTATACTATATAAACTTCGAGAAACAAAGATCATCATACCTGTCCAACTGCAATGCATTCTCCAAGCACAACCAATCTTTCCACGCGAGAAGAAAGTGACGAAAGATGAGGCTCAGGTGTAGATTCGCCATTCAACCAACGCGTCATTTTTTCAAATGCTGTAGACACCGGTTTCTGTACAGAGTACTTCATATAGTAGAATGAAATACCTTCTATACGGTAACATTATCCAAAAAGTGGACGATGAATGCTGTACCATCCTTTCTGGGTTAAAACACTAGTAAGTGTTAAACACGGCTGAGGAAAAACAACCCACATCATTGACGGCATCACCAGTGAGCTCAAGACCTGATAGGAACGCTATAACTCCTCTACTTTTCTCGGCTGGCCATGGGCGTTGAGGACAGGGTGTTGGCCATATTACCTTTCTCCACTTCGAAAACATCAGATTTCACCTGAACGAAATTGTTTTCGAAAATAGATCCACCCATAAATTAGACGCCACAAGCTCTACCTGAGATCCATACAGTCCTACAGTGCACCCAGTAGCTACTTCATCCATCGAGATATTTCCCTAAGAGCAAAGGAATAAGAGCACGAAAATCTGCCTGGTGAACAATCACCGCTCAAGCCATAGTTGTTCTGATGAATGAACGAGTTTCGCGCACATGTAGAAGAAACACAACAAGATAAACTCCGAGTGCAGTTCGGCGACAGGGGGAGGGGTCATTTTGCACTTCCCCTGCTTCACTAGTTCTGGTTTACAAGGCTCAATCTGGTTATCAACTGTTGTAGGCTCACGAAATAGCTCTCTAGATGGCTCAACACGTAGCTGAACGTAGCAAAAGTGCAAAATGTCCCAACCCTCCTCTTCCAACTGCCACGCAACTCCGCAAAATTTAGTGTGTCAATTAACAAATTTCACAGCTTACCGATCAGTAGAACAGTTAGGTAGCCCCGGGTGTTGAAGGGAGCACCCCTTCAAAGAACGGTAGAGCTTCAAGAAAAAAATCCTAATGGTGGACTACTACAGAAGCTGGCTTTTCCAGAAAAGACTGGTCAGAGTAAAATCCCTCACTTCTAACTTCACAATCTGCTTCTCGTCTTCGAACTCTAAAAAGTCCTTATTCGACACAATCGACATCATCTCGTCCGGGTCGTAGTCCTCCGGCAAGACCATCTCATCTTCAGCAATCTCCTAAAAGTGCAGGTAGCAATGCAAATCTTCTGGAGAAAGTCTGCCCTTAGTTGCTTACTTTCAACACGCTAGGCCTCTTGCTGATTCTTTTCTCGATGATTCCAATAACAAACGCTTTTTCATGCATCTCCAAATCTTCCAATTGCTTGTACATCATTTCATCACCTAATCATCAATATTAACACTAAATCATGAAAAGGATCTTGGCTGATCAAGAAAGGCAAAAACATCACCTAATTCTTTCTTTCCAGCATCGAGTATT